TGTGACTGTGTCTATGAGGGAGAAAGGAAAGCTCATTTTGGCCGCGGCGGGAAATTGATTTGACAACATAATACTCGATGTTCACGATGTGGTCATTTACGACATCGCATGGAGTGCAATCCACGATGTATCGTGTAAACTCGATATATCGCCCAGCCCTATTTGATGATAGACAATATTTTTTCAACAGGTGGGTTGCCTAGTAGCCACCCCCAGGGTTTCAGTTTGCACCTTATATTGAATAACATTTTCTTTCCCTAGAGGGTCTGAGGTCCACCAGTACAACATTCAAAATCCTTAAATCCTACTGTACTTAACTCTTTACAGGCCGCCCACTTGTGGTGCAGTTATAAATAGCAAACAGCTCCAGGTGGTATTTAATGATATAATAAAAAACCTGCTCAAACTCCAAAAATGAATATGTTATATGTTAGTGACTAGTATTATGAGGTATTTTATATGTACAAATGTGTCGATTGATGTCAACCTGAGTCTACAAAAAGTGACACACATTTGAGTTTGGATTTTAACAACTGTGGAATTGTGAACTGCAATACGCATATATGTATAGTTTTACTTGTTACATTCATTTCTTTGAATTTCCATCTGATTAGGACACATGTGTCTTAAATAAAGTCAACTTGATTGGATTGATTTGTTATGTTATATCTTTAACAACCAGGTGACACTAAGTTTACCAAAGCCAGGCGCTGATGTTGCCGGGTTGGAACACCAGCTTTCATGCAGAACCAGACTACAGACAGACAGTTTGCAGCCTGGTTCTGGTTTGATCCTGTTGTACATGTGAGACTCTGCAGAGATACAAACTACAGCTCCGTGCTGCAGCCGACTCATTCAAAGTGGACCAGGCATGGTAACTTCTGCACAATTAAACCAACTTATAATTCAACAAAAGCTTGAACTTTCTAAAGTATGACGTTTAACATGAAAGGCTCCACGTGTCCCATTTAGAAACTAATCATAACATTGTAAGATTTGTTTTCAAGCTAACTGAAAGAAAAAGCCATAGGCTAGCTTTAGCAAGCTAAGCTAAACGGCTATCATGACTGACTAGCTAACCTTAACGTTAGCGGGCGGGAGGGTTAGCAGATTCAAACAACAAACAAACTATGATAGTGTCTCAAACTCTCCGTTTAAAACGCGTCTGACCGGAGGGAACTTTCGAGCGGGGCTGCCAGTGTTACAGTGAGCTGTGGCCCGCAGCATTGTTAGTGGTTAACGCTAGCCGCCTGTGACGAAGCAGCGGTAAGAGGCTTTGTTCTAGCGGACTGGCTAACGCGTCAGCAAGCAAAGATGGAGTGATATCTTACCGGGTACCCAGGCCCGGGCATCGGGGAACGGTACATGTGGTTTTGCTGGGCCGACGACGGTACCATCCGTCCCGTAGGAGTCCCGGGACCCATGCCTGGTCCTGCGCCCTGTACCGGTGGTCCGGGTCCCATTGCTCCAACAACACCGCCCGTCGGTGCCGACTGAAATCCCCCTCTGGCCGCCATCTCCTCTCTGAATGTCGCCGCCGGTAGAGGCACGGAACTATCGCGAGTGCGAGAACGGGGTTTTGGGTGGTGGTAACCAAGCGGCCCCTATTGGTTGCCCGGGGTACCGTGTTGATGTCAGAAGTACCGTTATTTTGTATAATTTTTACATAGTATATTTTACTCCACTGCATTTATTACACATAAACTCAAACAAAACAGCATTTCGAGCTCACATAGAAAACAGAAACTGTATCTCATATCTGAAATACATATTTAAATTCAACCTGTCAATCTTTAAAACAAAAGGACACACAATATGAGAATATTAAAAAAAACATAACCAATCAAATAATAAAGTGACTCTCTTTCATGACCGGAGAAACACATCAAGGAGCTTTTATTTTGTTAACTTAAATGTGTTGAAAGTAATTTTCTCCTACTGAATTTTTAATTATCAGGCTGAGGGAAAAATCCCAGCCATTGTCTTTTCTTTCATCTCAGCAGGGGTTCATAAATTAGTAAAACAGATCCCTCCATGAAAAGCTGATCAAAATCACAACCCCTAGCACCTCCATACTGCACCAGTGTCAGTTGACCTTCTTTGCGTGCATAACATCACAGCCCTTTGTTTCATCTGGAAAGAGGATGTTGAACCTTTGAAGCGACTTCTAAATTAACTGGTAAACAACAAGTTGAGAGTGCTGCTGTGGCTGGCATCCAGTCAGCCACTGACTGAAACACTTTCTTGTTTCAAACTTTGATGTAATTACACTTCCCCCCCAATTAGCATAAAGCTACAACAGTGCAAAACACGGACTACCATCTGTTTGCATAGCCTGCTTGTGTTTGATCAGAGGGTGCTTGTATGAGTGCACACAAGGGAGGAGGGGGTGTGCATTATGACTTTTTTCTTTGAGGAAGGTGCATCGAAATCCTCATTCATGGGACGTTAAAGTGTCAGATTTGCTCCATTGTTCTTCAAATACCAGAGGGGATTTCAAATCCTGTTTGTAAGATGGCAGGTGATTATGTTTGTCCTCTGCAAGCGTGCTGACAGTCAGGATATTTAATAATAAGGTTTCATACTTTAAACAAATGAAAGGACAAATCAGGCGGACTCAAGTCTGAAATATAATACAGTGTCCATCAGTGCTGAGAAACTTGACTGCTCTGCAATTATCAATCCTCTTGATGAGAAGAATGTAAAGTGGAGCCCAGATGAGCCGTGCCTTATCTCCGACTAACGGCTCAGCATCCTAATTGCACGGAGAGATCTGACAGGATACATTTATACCAGAAACGTGACTCATCCGACATGCTGGCAGCAAGCTGGGGCGTACATTCATTTATGTACAGTACAGATCCAGTAATATAAAGTAGTCTGACGCAAGGTAAAATAATGTTTTCAGTCAACATTGGATAGAAAATCCCCCAAGCTAATGTTTTTTTTTTACTCAATGTTTTGGTTATTTTCTCTAAATTATTGTTGGGAAGTGTTTCAAGGATATTCAGAAATGTCCACTTGAGCCAATGCAGTGCTGGGTCAAAACAACTCAGCACTGCATTGGTGCATCAGTATATTGGCACAAAACTAAACCAGTTTTCAGTCATTGTTATTTAATTCGTCTGAGTGTGTGCTTGTGTGTTAAGCTAAAGTACTGAAAATGACAAAACGTTGTTCACTACATTAAGAAAGTGTAGAACAAGAGCCTAATCTCCTTGTCGATGTAGATAATATGTGATAATAGGATTAGATGGAAATTGCCTCTGATATGAAAAATATTTAGAGTGGGAGTGCATGTTCAGTGACAGCAGAATGCATGATTAAACTGGCAGATGTGGATAATAACATGCACACGACAAGTCTCATTAAAATATATCAACAAGCATTAGAAGTTCCCTGAATGAAAACAGGGCTTCATCAGATCCAAAGGCCCGAGGGTGTTAAAGCCATTTAGGAAGGGCCTGCAGTTTGGGATAGTTTCCAGTACAGGAGCATATTTTTCTTATACTGTCATCAGATTGGCTGAGTGTCAAGCAACAAGGTGAAAGCAGGGAGGGAGCAGACATCTCTGATCTTTATATTGAGGAGCTGAATGAGGTGCATAATACTGTAGGTGGACATCTTTCAGGAGGCGGATGCCAAGATTTAGGAATTGGCTAACAGGTGAAACTGAATCAAGACTACACAACTGCAGGAAATAATCCCAAAGCCGTACATTTTGGAAATATTTTCAGTTTGTCTGAATTCCCTCCGGTGCATCTCCCTCACACCCCCACCTGCTCTGCTTTACGCCTGAGGTTCATCAAGACGTAGAAAGCATCTTCTGGCTGGCAGCTGTCCAATTGCTGACACCCTGCAATCTTCTGGGTCGTAAAAGTGTCACTCACACAATGAAAAAAGTGCACACAGGAAATGAACAGCATCATCTTTTATTTCTTGATTAATTTGTCTTCTTGGCAGGTACAACAGAATATAATAAAACCGTCAGGGGGCAACATCCTGTGTCAGACATTCAAAACAGGAAACATCTTCATCAGATGTTGGAGCTGGTTCCCGGGAGCTTGAGCACTTGATATGAATATGTGAATACCAGCTGAGGTTTCTCCTCTGAATAATAAAAAAGGAATGCACACTCACATTGGGTGAACAATGTTGATGTTCGGTTTCCCTGCTAAAAGATATATAGCATGAAAGAATCATGAGGCAAAAGTAAACTTCCTGTCCTAGAATAACCCTTAGTGCCTGGTAGCAGCGGACTGTGCAGCCGTCCGAGCAACAAACATGATTTCAAGGCAGAACATGTTTAACTGGACTCTAATATTCACACTGTCATGCATCACCAAGCTGCTTTTAATACAAGTGTGGCAGCTGGCAGCAGCAGATGTACAGTATAGTAGAGGACCAGGAGCCGTCCAGAATGTGAGGCCGCTGGCTCACTGACAATCTTGATAAAACTTGTTTTGGCTGTGCAGGATATTTCTCATCCATTCTTTTGTCACTGAGCAGCAGAAACTGTAATTACATTTCAAGCATATCAAGCTCAGAAACACCAATGTTGTGGCTTGCAGCGGTTTTAACAAATGAACGGTTTCAGTGGATAAGTAATACATGTTTTAATGCCAGAATCCTGCCCCTAAACCCTTAATGCTGACTTAATTTAAAAAAAATGTTGTGTGAAGCAAAACACAAGATAATATGTTGATAAGAGAAAATTGAGAAAAATCCCTAAGCCCAGAACGCTTAATCAGATTTTCTGAGAGCTACTTGTGATTCAAAATGAACATTTGCACAGTATCTGGAGTTGACAAATACATCGCTTTCCCCCCGTTCACCTCAACCAAACGAACAAATAGAGGCTTTAAAGACTGAATTCACTGATAAGAATAAAACCTCAGAAGAATAACAATTTCCAAAATGATATTTACATTTTATTTATGCTTTGATAACTAAATAGACCAGCCTATTACCTGGACGATGGAGACAGGATTATCAGGCAATATCGATTATGTTTTATATGAAAGAAAAAACAACAACCGAAAAACAGTCGGATCAACACGATATTAATAATATGACAATATATCAAGAAGAATAGTACGTTGCCTTTTACATCACCTCAACATACTGCTATTGTGCTTTGATAAGACTCTTGCAACAAGAACACAGATACAGAAACTTTTTTAACAGCCCAACATTACTTGGATTTCAGCGATCAACTCCTCGTAAAATAATTCCGCTCACCTCATCCTGCAGTCGAGATAAGACTTAATGAAGCTGAATGAAAACTCCTCGACTCAAAGGGCACGCGTGAAAATGAAATAACAGATGAGAAATCAAATTAGGTGCAGCTCATTCATTCAGTCAGCAGACACAGGCTGACTGGGTACACACACACACACACACACACACACACACACACACACACACACACACACACACACACACACACACACACACACACATATATGGGATGTATCATCTTCCTTTTCCTGTATATCATTGAGGCAAACTTGGTACTTATATCATTTATATATATATATATGTAAAAAAAAAAAAAGAATTATAGATGAAATGAAAAACATGCATTGGACAAATACAAGCATGCATTTACATGATGAGACCTGAAATCATCACCAGTACATTTTAAATGGTTGATAATGCACCTCTATGTTTAACACAAGCCCCCCGAAAAACTTCCCTGCACACCCAACTACACCCATCGTGAACATAAATACATTCTCAACTACAGAGTCCAGCTGATGTTTTACGGAGCGCTGCAACAGGTACATTATGTTGCTACATGTAAAGTGGAGTAAGCAGGATGAGTCTCACTAGCAGGCCGGTGTCGTGTGAAACCATCGTGTGTTATATAAAGGCATGGGGGCTCTTTTTTATGATCTGCTGTCTATGGTGAGATAGCTGTACATGTTTATTTTTACATTTAATTTTGTTGTCTTTTGAAAGAGATAGAGAGGTCCGTGTTGGCAAGGTTCCTCCACATCCTCTGCGGCAGTATTCCAGAGATACACAAGAGATAGAAGAGTGCTGCATGAAATGTTCTCCGGAAAATTGACAGATATTTTTTATTTTTGGGATATCCTCTCCGCTCGGCCTTGGGTGACAGTTCTTTGTCGTGTTTGATTTGTCCGCTTAACTCCGTATCTATGTAAAAAGTGCCTCTGTTAGACTTTGTATCAGTTCCTCACACTCCCCCCCGTGCTGGATAGTTCTTCTTGTATGGTTGGCTTTGGTTGCATAACACGCACTTGGATGCTTCCCCACCGGGGTCTGCTCAGCAAGTGAAGTCTTCAAAGTTTGCTTGGCCCGGGTGATGGGGTAGCATGTTGCCAGGATATGTTGATGGTGTACGCAGGTTATCGCAAGGATCCTGGGAGAAAAATTAGCAGAGAGTGAAAGCAAAAATTAGATTGTAAGATAAACGAGGATTAAGACACTGAAGAGAAATGATCAGCAGGGGAGGACGTATTAAAACAAGAGGGGAGGGGGAGTCCTTACATCAAGAGTAAAACAGAAGATAAAACACATATGAGAAAGTACTAAACCCTCAGATAAATGTGTGACATTAGAAACAAGATGGGGCTGAGAGGGAATAGACCCATAAGAAATGCTTTAAAGAAAAAATGATGAAGATGTAAGGCAGGGGAGAGGATCAGAAGATGAGCACATCTTTCTCCTTTTTCCTCTGCCTGATCTCAGACCTACAATTAAAGTGAACTTCATTTACACTTGGCAATAAGTGAGCTGTCACACCTTCCAACGCTCTAATCCTGGCCTGTCCCTGCTGGTCATGTCCAGCAGCTTTGATTAAATGCACACCACTTTCCACTATCAATTTTCTCCCCCTCTTCTCCCAATCACACTTTCACTCCCTTCCCTGTCTCCCCAGTCCCTGGTTTCTTCCATCTCTTTCTCTTGACTCCTCCCCACCACCATCACGGCTGCCCTATCATCCTCCTTCACTCCAAGTGTGTCCCTGTCAAAGGAAATTGAGTCTGATACAGTGGAAGTACTGAGCAGCAGTCTACTGACATGGTGTTTCACATCATCCAGGCTCAGCACAGCTCCCCGGTCGTTGTTGTTGCGGCCTTTGTGTTTCTTCTTCACGCATCGGCACAGCTTGTATTTGATCACCTGAAAATAGCCGAGGACACCCGTTACTGACCCGTTCAAAAATATATTTTTTATAGTCCAAGCCCACACACTTTGGAGTTTGAAGGATCATGCAAAATGAAATTCAAGAGAGATTGATTTTATCCATCTATAAATATGTTTCGCCCTCCAAACTGGACATGCAGGTGCTGCTTTTTTCTCTCACGCAAACACACACACAAACAGACGGACACAAATATCTTTCTGCATTGCTGGTAGAATTTATAATGGAGGAAGCAACACAGAGTTGCTCTAATGAGAACGGACAGAGACATCCCAACTAATCTAAAATATAATACATCCAAAATGTTAATGTATTCAGAGTTGCTGCTGCTAAGATGTGTGTGTGTGTGTGTGTGTGTGTGTGTGTGTGTGTGTGTGTGTGTGTGTGTGTGTGTGTGTGTGTTGCACAGAGATGGGCTGCAGGGTTGTGAGGGACACAGCGTTCGTCACGCTCGTTAAAACACGTCCTTGGTGAAATAGTGTGCAAAACTCAATTTTGTACGCAAGTACGGGAGGTGTTTTAAAGACCTATTTTACCTCATATAGATAGTCAAAGAGTTCCAGAATAGTGAGGAGGCTGGCTCCGATGAAGAGACCCATCTGACCTCCGATATCACCTGGAGAGAGAAATAGGACATTTTAAGGAGGATTATCATCTCTGTTTATTCATATGAAGCATATTTTAAATGTGCTTTTAATATTTGTTTAGGTCTGAAATGTGTTAGAAAACAGATGTTAGAAAGAAAGAAATGTTGAAAATCACACAACAGACACACTAGATTAAAGAGACAGCGCTGTGTCATCTGGGACCTGAACACCTATTTTACAATAACAAGCGGTTGCCTTACTGTCACTTTTCATCAAAATCATCTGATGTGTATATGAATACTGTTTATTATCTCCTCCCATGGAAACACTAGACAGCCATTTCCTTACCCAGAAGGCCTGCCAATTCGTAGGCTTTCTTTTGTTCGATGGTTTCGTAGTTCAGCGCTTCAAAATAGATATCCAGGACCAGAAGGTTATCACTGTAAACAGAGAGAAAAGCTCAGTCTTAGTTCACACATTTAAATGTCTCAGTGTATGTTTCATACACCATGCTTCATCAGAGTGTCCGCAGGCGGAGAACATGACTGGTGAGTCTGGCACTTCCTGCAGATAACTGAGCAGATGCATTGGGTTGAGTAAATAACCATATATGGATTATTGAACGGGCTGACAGGGCACAGGCTTAGGGCCACAACGTTTGTCTCCATGGCCTTTACTTACAAAATGTCTCTCAAAGTGACAAAAACCAAGCAGCAATGGATAGAAAATGACCACAAAGAAACACAAAGCGCTTAAAAAAAGATGCACAATAACTGCGAAAGGGTTCTAAACAATCACAAAGTGACAAACGGCAACTACAGAGACTTAAAACTACACAGAGTTGCAACACTATTACAAAGACACAAACAGCCCTAAAGAAGCACAAAACAACTACAGAGAGATTAAAAACAACTACCAAGAGATGCAAAAACGACTTCAAAGAGATGCAAAACAACTACTAAAATATGCAAAACAAATACAAAAAGACGAAAGTAACCACAATAGGATAAAAAAGAAATGCAAAGAGACGCAAACAGATTACAACAAGGGCTAAACAACCACAGACGAAACATAATTACAAAAACACGACTCAAAATGGGACACAAAACAGAAGCAAAGAGAACACAAAACCACAACCAAAAGACACCCATGGGTGTCTGGCTCCATGTAGCTGAGGTAGGGGGGTCTTTTGCAAGTCTGTTCCCAGCGGGCCTATTGTCTCATAATCCTCCCGTGCAAAGAACCTGCAGTCACAAGCTAATTTCCCCTCGGTGGGTCTGGTCATTATGGAAAACAAGGGAAATGATGACAGCTGTTTGATTTCATGCTGTGTCAATATCTGAAATTCAGGACTTCAGCAGAATGAGAAAGAATTAGTTTACGGCCCAAGGCAAAGCAGACTATTATTTTGATTCCTGAATATCCTCTCCGCGGGCTAAATGACATACTACACACATAACTGGGGTTGAATCAAAAACGTAACTTGACTTTGAGGATTTAGTTTACTGTTTTATTACTTCAATTTAAGTTAAGACACGTGATGATCTGTCAGTTGAAGAAGCTCTAAGCCGAGGGCTAAGTTGAAATGCAAATTACAGTTGGTAATGTAGCTGGAGATGTTCTCATAGAAGATGGGCACACATCTGCTTGTTTCATGCTGGGAGATGTACTTTCAGCTCCTGTAGTTTGACTGCACAGACGATTTTAAAAGCACATAAAACATCCATAGTATACTCAACATAAAACAAAACCATCATCATAAACTTAATATCCCGCCTAGGGTTGTAATCTTGGTCACTCGTTCCCATTCTTTTTTTGACATACACCCGATGAGCTCAAACCTTTTCAATGACTTTTTTTTCACAGCAGATATCTTGAATTATCATAACAGAGGTATTAATAATAATAATATAATATAATGCTGTATTTCCAGCTTTGAGAACTAAAAGCACACGTTACAAATGTGTTGGCATAAAACAATGTCAAAATTGACTTTATCAAACACTATTGATAATATAAAAGTGAATAGTGTGCAACAATGAGGTCGGTTTGATGAAGTTGACACTTTTAGGCCGTACTAATTGGAGTGGCAGAATATGGACGTTTAATCTGAAACCATCTGAATCCATTACTTTTAGCGACCAACTTGTATTAATAACACAGTAAACTGTTTTCCATTTACTTTAACATATGCGCACCATTTAAAAAATTTTTTTTTATCAATTACTAATGCTAACAACATTTTACAGTTTAATATCCACTAAGTTTATTTATTTTTTCAAATGCTAGTTACCTGTTTCTTTTGTTAAACAATAACATACAATTATACAATTTATTGTATAATTTCAGCTCTTTGTCCAATGTTAGCTAGTAACTACCCATTATAACTGTTTGTCCATTACTTCAGCTGCCAATCAAACATTATATAAATATAAACATATTTGTGTTTTACTTTCAGCTAACTATTGTATTTAAACCAATACTTTTTGTGGATTATATATACTGTTTATGTTTTACTTTTATCAAAATAGGTCTTCTGCGTATCTTACTATTTCAATGATATATTTAATTCCTTACTTTTACTGTAGCTTACTGTTTAGAATTACCTTCCTGTTTTCATGCTTGCAACACATAGTGTTCAGGTATTACATCTTATTCAATATTTGGAAATCTTAAAAACTGAGGTTTTTATTTTATAATAATTTGTTTAATCAGTTGAGCTTTCTACAATCTTTGCAGAAAGGCCTGCTCCATGGCAGCTGCAGTAGTTAAACCCTGGGATAGGGAATCACTGATATAGTTGTGTTTTTGTATTGCTTTTTGTTGAAACTCCTGTGTGTGTTCTCCTGATTTGTAGGCCCACCTGAGTGAGCTGTCTTCAGTTTGAAGGATGCGTCCTCGCATATATATGCAATATAGGCTCTATACTGTATATGAAAATAAAAGACAGAAAGACGGTGCAATGCAGTGGAAGTGTAGCAGTCATTCAATGCAGTCCATATCTGTATATGTTCTATCTTTCCCTCAAAGTAGAATGATTGGATAAATATAACACTGCTGCTGCCGTCCAAGTAGTAATATTAGTATTATTTAATAAATAATGCATTGTGTCTGCGTCTATATCAATATCTCTCTCCCCCTGCTTTAGTGGTTCCCAGTAGAATGACAGTCCACTTCAGTTTCACACCACTAAACACTGTGCAGCCCAGATAGCAGAACACTTCCAGCAAATGCTCATCAGCCTGACACTGCTTGGAAACATTGCCAGTCAAAAGACGAACTGGAAGGACTCACATCTATCCAAAGGGGATTAAATAAAACTTTCAGCAGGGAGAAGTGAAAGGTTTTTGCCGCACTCCGACTACATATGGTGTAATTATCTTGTCCTCAACAGCTCTGCCGGGAATGATAGATACAAGATTTAACTATTATTTCTCCCTCTCCCCATTCCCTTGAACTACTTTTGATCTTTTCATTACATTTGGCAAAGAAACAGTACATACTTGGCAGCTTAATCAAGTCAAACTCAGACTGAATCATCCTTATTCTTTTTCCTCAACTCAATGGAAAAATATCCAGGTTTGAGAAAGTGAACTGGTTGCAGCAGTTGTTGTGCAGCCTCAAGCAAGCTGCTATAAGGGAAATAAACCTCAAAACACTTTCACTCTGTCTGAGATGTGGTGTGGTTTGACCAACACAATGGTACACATCAGGTTCTCCTTCATCACAAATAAGAATAAAAGCTACAGATGTGTCAGTACTTAAATGCAACTTCTGTTTTCTGCAAAAGAAGAAACATCCACAGTTCTGTATTACATGGTGAATCCTGACAAATGAAAACAGAAAATAAGCCTGTGGATATGGCTTAGCAAGATCATAATGTTAATTCGATTTATTTTATTTAAGTATGGTTTTGTATATATTGCAAAAAGGGAAATATATGCAAAATCAAATATGAATTGTTTGTTGATTCTAAAAAAATGTGAAAATAAGACTTCAGTAACCTTTTTTGTACGTTTTTGTTTTCAATTAAATTGATTTCATACATTTGGACATTATAATGTGTAAAGCCATAGCATGATAATATCATATGATCTCAATATTTATTTCCCAGAAAAAAATTAAAATACAACGCCCAAAGCCCCTCCACTCAGTGTTTGCGTGTTTTGCTTATCGTCAGTTCTCTCCTTCTCTCTCCCTCTTAAGCTTTCAGTGCAGAATGATGTGGTCTCATGTGCAACTTAAAGTGTAACTTCCTTTTTAGTGGATGTACCATAACGGTGTGCAATTGGTGCCTGAAGCATTACATCAAAAACAGTTTAGTGGCTGCAGTGCTCTCGCTCAATACAGGACCTATTAAAGAAAACACGGTTGACTCCATAAAGCACTTTGAAACAAAGACATGGGGAAAAAGGGTCCAGATTGATTAATACAGTATCCAATTTAAGAAGTGTGATGTGAAAACCTGACAAATCCAACACCCACATAACCTGAGAATGGACTTAATAGTGAAGATATCTTGTGCTCAACAGTTAAACTTTTCAAAGAAAATATATTAGTAAAAGTTTTGGATGATTGGATAAGACAAAAGAATGTGACTTACGATATGTACTGCTCTGTCTTGTTGAATTTCTTGGCGAGGTACTTTGCTGATGCTTTGCTGGGTATCTTGACAAAGGACATCTCTTTACCGAAACGCGTCATGTTGCACGGCGTCTCGCACACACAGTAGTCATTGTCTCTCTCGACAAGAAAGTCTGAAAAATAGATTATTTAGGAAGCCAGGGGTAGATAGAGGACAGATAAATGGAGAGAGAGAAGACACAGAGACAGACAGATTTATCATCACATCAGGATGACAAACACAAAGCCAGCAGAGTGAAAGGCGTCAAAGAAAACTTTTGAAATGACGCCGCTAGGAGACACCCTAGAGGCTTTTATGAGAAATATAAAAGATAGACATGGTTTATTGAAAGAGTGAGAGATTTGAAAACAAGCAACAGTCATGAAAGGCCTGAGAGGTATCAGCTGATAAAGAGACAGGGGAGTGTGAAAAGGACCGGCTCAGTGCCAGGCCTGAGGTTTACTATTCGAGCTACCTTAAGGCTAAAGGAACACTTTTATCTGTTATCAGCATGGATAAGGGGCTTTGAATAGTTGGCTATACACATTGAACAGCGAATATGCACACTCACACTCTCACACACATACAGCATGCTGGGTTATCTCCTTACCCAAGGCAGGATCTGCACAGTCCTTGTACTGCTCCGGGGTGCAGTACGGGGCATCTCCTAAGGACACATAATATTCTCAGTGTCAACAAAAGGAGAAGAGGGTTTTACCAAGAACCACAAAGGGTGACAAGATGTTAACTGATAATTAATGCTGTCTCAGTGTGTCATCACCAATCTTATCATGCCTGGATATTCTTCCCAAATGTGATCCCATCTCGTAATTTATTTCATTAACTTTTGTACTTTCCGCCTCGCGTAACTACTTCCGTGTCCGTGTCACTCTCGTCTCTCTCACCCTCTCCATCTTTCTCCCCAGTGGCAGTTGAGCCACCCCTCTCCCTCGACAAAGGAAAAAGCTGTGTCCTACATGTAGAGGAAATGATTTCCCAGCTACAATTATTCACTGCATTTTGCTTTAAAGTCGTGAAAAATCAGTCGAATGACAGGAAGATAGCATAGATGGATAGGAGCAGAGGATTTTAGCTGGGGAGTTGTCTGTAGACTCACATAAATCAACTGCACAATCACTTTAGGGAAGCAGCTAATTCTGATTATTTCCCAGACCGATTGTCTGGGTCTCCCTGGATGTGCAAACACTGACCGTGATTGAATAGAGACACATTAACAGTTATTGGACAGGTGAGTGCGGGTTAACAGAGGCCAAATTCCAATGTTTCCTCTGTGCCAAACTCCTTTTCAATTTGCCAGCTCAGATGCCACCCTGTGATTACATTTAGGAGGTAGACTACATATGCCAACTGTAATCACTGCACAAATTCGAAGGGAAACACTTGAGTTTTCCAATCCAGTGGAGTGTGAAAGTATGAATGCAGTCACTGGCAAAAAGCTCTTTATTCCTTAAGAATTGTTTTTGCCACGCCAAATTCAAATAAAAGCACTACAAACCACAAGAGACACTTTAACATCTACATCTTTATAAGCTAATGTAGATAGCATGTATGTCGAGCAGTGACATGCCCCTGTGGTTCCTACCAGGCATGTGGACCATCCTGCAGTTGCAGTTCTCCACGAGGTATCGTGTCTCGCAGTCGATCCGGCAGGCTGTGATGCTGTAAGTGTTGAAGAAGTCTGAGTCCATCGCCGAGGCCTTGCAGTCCCCCCAAGGTGGAGGCAGGTACGTCAGCTGAGAGAGAAGCAACAGTGCAGAACCAATTTAGCTATAGAGCTTATTGTCTGTTCAAGAACATCTCCTGTGCCCTGTTAATGCAGTTATTTGACCCTTTTCTTTCCCTCAATACCTATATTTACAAGCCAATACGCAGTTTTTTTGTATTAGGCTCTGAAAAGGATTGCTTTTACTCCATGGTGGATACATGTGTATAGTGGAGCTTATGGTGGGCGGTTCTCTCCTACGTTTCTCCTATTCCCAGTGTGCCTCTGTGCTTTATTTGTACAGCCCACTCTCCATGCAGGATCTGAATAGTATCATCAGAGTATTAGAGCTGTGAAGTTTACACTCTTAACAGCTTCGCTGCAGGACCTGTGGAGCCATGTCTCCTCTGTTTTGATCCACAAATGTACAATTTATGTGGACAGTAGACATATCCATCAGTCACACAAAGTGACAGTGAGCTTTTGTCCTTGTTTACCACATTGTATTCTGTGAAACCTTGTAAGTGCCATGCACAGTAATGTGTACTGAAGTTGCTGCACAGCAAAATCATACAAACAAATATTAATGACAGATCTTTTCATTTTTACCCTTTTTGTTTGTTTTCTAATAAACAATTTTTTACATTTATTTTACTTTTGTATTCTTACTCAGCATTGCTCAGCATCTTTAAGCACATTCTTAAAAGTATGCAACCTTGCATTCAACTGCACATACTGTATGAGCCAACCTCTTCACATTCCCTATTCGTCACACGCGGACAATTGGTGAGGACCAATTACTGTATAAAGTATGAACAACAAAAAATGGGACTTATAAAGTAGGAAAAATGTAAAAAAAGACCCACTATTTCAAAATAAGCCCCAATGATTGTTGCTTACTGTATATTTGAGGTTGTACCAGATTATTCATGTAGAAAGTAAAGTGAAGCCACTTAAACAGAGTGCTCTTTGAAACATACATATCATATGTAAATATGAAGAATATTAATTTAAATAAAGCTGCTTTAAAGAAAGGACAAACTTTGATGCATTAATATGCATTAAGGGAGGAAGCTATACAAAGTGTGTTTCCTCCTCATCAGTGCATCACTGATTGCTCACACAGCAATAAATTAAAGGCCAATGTTATGATTTAGGGATGAAGCTTTTTAAGATTTGTACTGGAGTGCAAGAGGCAACCAGGTGTGTCACACTCTGGATCTGGTTACTAATAACCCAGGGCACACACACGCACACGCACGCACGCACGCACGCACGCACGCACGCACGCACGCACGCACGCACGCACGCACGCACGCACACACACACACACACACACACACACACACACACACACACACACACACACACACACACACACACACACACACACACACACACACACACACACACACACAGTGAAACCTGAAGCTCTGACTACAATCCAATCAGGAGACTATAATCATTGCTCTGCATATTTTTACATCAAGGACGCTTCACAAAGTCAGACAGAACATAAAAACCATAAGAGCCGGGTAAAATATGGTAATCAATAAGAAGTGCGTGTGTATTTATTCATCTCATCACGTGGCCTAGACCTATGGAAGGAGCTATGTGGCTGGGTGATTTCTTATGCTCACAGTTCTGACCTTTAGATTTTGTTGCATCTTTAAAAGCTCGACTCAGCCCTCCTAATCCACCTCTTGGTAGAATGACTTCCAATTGGTTAGACTTCTGCAAGTTTGGACAAAAGCCAAACTGGTGTTTGAGATTTCAGGACATGTTAGTGTCCTGTTAAACAACTATAGGAACGAAAATCATTTTAAAGATTGTGACTTCAATTCCACCTTCGTTACGGAGTGAGAGACCGCAAACCAAATGGAACAGGAAGAAGAAAGAGGAAAAGCAAGAGCCAGCAACCCTCTGCAAACAAAAAGACAAGAGGATGTAGAAGAAACATGTTGTTCTTTTTGCATTTTATGTTAAACAGGGAGAAATTGCAGATGTCTTTCTTTTGTGGGATCATGGTGAGTGACAGTTGGGCAAGCTGAAAAGCCCCCGACAGTTTTACACTACAGGACTGCTGAAGCAGGCAGTTGAATGAATTTGAGAAAACTGCATTAGATTAATGAAGAGTGAGCCTGCCAGCCAATGAAATAAATAAATCCAGAGAGAGAGAGAGAGAGAGAGAGAGAGAGAGAGAGAGAGAGGGTGAGGGAATACAATTGAAAGGGGACTGTATTATAGGAATTGTAATGACTTTTGGAGAGGAAATAAGTCAAGGAGCTAGCGAGAAGGAGAGAAAAACAAAGAGGGACAGTTTCCTGCAGACGCGACATTGGCAGCATGCAAAATCCTGCTGCATCCCACCATCACTGGAACACACTCACTAGTAGTGTGGACGTGGAATGACTGAGATCACTACCAAATCCATCCCTATCCATCCTCCATTCATTATGCATGGTTCTGTAGCATATTAGGGGCAAGAGTGTAGGATTTGTGAGGCTGAATCCTTGCAGTCACAGCCACAGAATTATTCACAGTTCAAGGGAAGAACCCACACACACTTTTTTTCACAGAGCCAAACTCAGACTTACACATGCTGACTGGAGAAAGTCTGTGTATCCTTGACCATGTTGAGACCCCAAATATGTAACTTTCAGAACTACTCAAGAGCCTCCAAGGCACCAACAAACATGTACAGTCCCTTAAATTGCAAAATGTCCATCTTACAAAACAGTCCTTCCAACCTAGAAACTAACTGTCCTTACAACAGCCGCAGTATTGATGGGTCTGAGGCACACTTTTTGCCTTTTATGTGAAACACTTGACTGACCGGCCATAATTATATTTCAACCTCGATTCTGGGAAAGAAGAAAATCGTTTGTCCTTCAAAAATCACAGCGTAGTGCTGAGATAGCTTACAATGTGGGACGCCTCATTTCAACTCCCATGGGTCCAACAAAAGCCTTGAACAGGAACAGTGATAAATATATTTCTCTTCTGGGCTCAATCCCTTATGATTGCAAGTATTCAGATTAAGGAAAAAAAAAATTGTTTAGTTGTGGTAGAAGAAATCACATCATTTTCTTTAGTTAAAGTAAGATGACTCTCTTGAAATTAAAAGTCCTGCATTCAAAATTGAAAAGCAGTGTTATCAACCAAAATATAATTATAGTTTTCGAAAATAAAAGTATCGTTCTGCAGAAAAAGGTCCCTTATGACTGATTATTATTATATAAGACACTATTAGAATGTTAATAGTAATGCAATAATGTGTAAGTTGCTTTATAATGTTGCTGCTGAAGTGCAGTTGTTTGTCACCATAGACTCTATAAAATATGGATGTTAATGTGCTTCTAGAGACACATACTCGGTAACTACCAAAAAAGCTGTTTTGAAAGATTTGCCGGGTGTTTATATTTCTGTCTGTCTTATGCTTTTGGCCTGAATTGGTGTTGCGGCTGGTGTGATCCCATCGCAAGACCATCTCCGGTTTGTAAGACACTGTTTCTGCTAAACATTAGGGAATTAAATGGAAAGGTCTTTGGGGATTGACACAGCAGAGGTAGTGCTTGGTCCAACAAGTCCAATGGTGAGCAATCCTTTGGCCACCTCTGAAGGGTCACAAAGAAGACTAAAGGCTAAATTAGACTTTTCCATAATCTTTACTTTTTATATGTATTTACATTATTTCAACTACTTGTATCTCAAACTGTTTTTGAAATGAACCCAGCTGAGACTATTAGAGAGGTAATACCATAGGGTCAAACTATTGAAGGAAATCTGAAATGACCATCCTCCCTACGTTGAGTTATGGTGACATTATAAATAGGTTGGCATTAATGGACGCACTCCAGAAGCTTGATGTTCTCCACCAGTCTGTTATCTGGTTTGCAGCAAATGCTCCTTTTGAAACCCACCGGTGCAATATTTATTGCTCTGACAACCGGCCATCTGTCAAACGAGTCGTAATATTCATTGATTCATGCTTATCTACAAAACCATCCATGGCCTGCTGCTCACCATGTTTTTTTCTAAATAAAAAATGACGATCTGAAATTAACTATTAACTAAATCTGTAGCAGAGAAGAATGTACAATGTTTGCCTATGAAATGAAGTGAAGAAGAGTTATAAAGTAGCATAAAATGGTTTCTCAAGTTAATTACAAGTTTTCATTCTCCATTAACCTACATTTATATGATCAGTTTAATTATCCAGTAAATGTTCGGAAACGTTTATAATGCAGGAAGGAAGAAAATGAACCATGCAGTCTTTGTATGGACCAGAAGGTTCTGTCAAGAGAAGATAGATGGGTGAGAAATATCAGTGGCTTCAGCACAAGCCACCTTTTCAAATTCAGTAATTTATTTAAAATTCATATAAATGTCTCTTAGTGGAGTTTAAATATCACTCAATGCATCCCATTTGCCTTGACATTTGTACAACCTGAGAGGGTCTCTGATAAGCTTGCTAACTGCACAGTTTGTGCTCACTGTTACATTACGAATTATGTTGATACTGAGTGGCCTGCGGATGTTGGAGTAAAGCTCTCAGTAAGAGGAGTGACGGGGCCAGACAGGGGCAGAGCCATCAGCCTCCGAGGCAGCACAAAGATCCCCCAGATGGTTGAGTATAAAGGGGGTCGAGCAGGAGAGTGTGGGGGGGGGTAATGGGACTCAGGCCAGGGCTTGATCAGCTGTGGCAGGGTCACCTGGGCCGTGCAGGATGTCTGCAGTTGAAAAGCCTGAAACACCCACCATGATCCCAGGATACGTCACTGATTATTAGAAGCTTGTTCACCCTGGACAAGGTATCTCCATGACAATTTTCTCGTCAGATTGTAAGCATCCATGTAACAGATTGCGACAGAAAAGCAATCGCATTTGAAGCTGTCAGAAGAAAGAATGAATTTGACATTGAAATATGTATTTACTTATTGGAATACTGACAGAAATGTCAGATGCTAAGTGTTTGGTGATGTGCTGCGTGACAACATCAGGTTCTTCTTAACCTCCAGCATCGCTAGGCAGGCTTATGTGACAATGAACCAGAAATAAAACACGGAAATATTTTTTATTAGTATTAGCCACACTGACTGACTTACACATACCTACAAAGTGAGATTAGAATGTTTTGTTCTTTAAGAATAGCTGGTCAAATCCGTCTTGCTTCCTCGGTGACCTTCTTCAAGTCGATACCAAAAACGACTAATTTCACTTTCTATGGCATTTCACTTAAACTAATACAGTATGCCTTGTTTCCACACAGTACGACCAACAGTGTTCACTGTAGGGACATTATTAACCAATGGATGTAAAAAAACATCACAGAAATAGAAGAAAAGTATATTTTTGTGAGAATTTCCTGCCTTGTAGTTCTAGTAATGGAGCACTACCGAGACAGAAACAGGGCGATCAATGCATGGCTATGTGCAAGTATATAAATGTAGATTTAGCATATAATAACCATACATTTGAATTCCCAATGTTCTAAACTAGCTTTAGTACTCCCTTTGTATTTATACAATTGCTCATTTGTCTATTAATATTGACAAGCAGCAACTGAATCTAATGAAATAGCTTGTGTGCTAATTTGCGCTGGCAAACAGTGTCCTACATTTGCCACATTTCTTTCGTGGTCTTAGAGGCCGAAATAAGAAACATAAGGAGAGCATGTGCTTCTGTCTGCGCCTACAGTATGCGCTCTTGTATATTCTCTTTTAATGCAATCAACCTGCCAGGGACTGCAGATGAGAATCTGAGCCTTTAGGGCTAAATCTGGCACATTTACATGATGGACTCAAGTGCTCATGTTAATTATTGAGCATTGTCCCTTCTTGAACAAATACAAAAAAGGAGTTGAGATAACAGAAGTCCCAATACAAATGAATTGTCTTTTGGTTGCCTCACAAAACCACACATAGCAAGGTTGAAGCTAAGCGCTACATGGTATGAAGCAATACTTGTTGCTATAATTAATGTACGCCTTTGTGTGTGTGTGGGTATTGATTAGGTACTTGTTAGCACTTGCACACATTGTTTGAATGAAAGGCTATAGAAATAAAGGTCATTTTTATGAAAGCTGTAGAAGCTCCTTTTATATTAGCAACCTTTTGACTGTGCAAAACGTTTATCTGATTTGCAAGCACAATATCTCTTTGACGTGCTCAAAATGAAATGAAATAACACTAAACAGATTCTCTCTGATGAAATGTGTTGAGACATGCTTGTGTTACCAGATTTTCATTTAAGTTAGCTTTAAGCACGTACCCGTTGTTCCTGGCAGGACACAAACGTCTGAAAGCCTGGCGCCACTCCGAAGCCCAGCTGGTCTATAAACGGAGGCTCGTCCTGTGTGTGGATCTGAACCTTGATCCCTGCTTCAAACGACGTCTCGTCTGTTGACAAGAAGAGGTGAGGACATTTACAACAGGGACGGTGATTTGTATGCACACATTGGCCTGTGTGATCCAACCAGGAGCAGTTGTTACTAATCACACAGAGAAAAGCTTTGCAACGGGGGAATATGCTTCAGCCGGTTAGTGAAAAACAAGCGAGGAATCAAATCTAGAAAAACAATAAAGATAACACAGGGGAAATTATAAGACATCGCTAACTTGTAGTCGGATTTCAGCTAGAAAGAAGCACTCCAAGAGAGTAATTGCTTATTCATTAGTTACATCTGTAGACTTCCAGAGATGACTCATTGTAGTATTTGCGGAGTTAACAATAGCTGCAATGAGGAATGAAAGGACAAAGAAGATGGACCTCCTAAGTGGAGCGGTTGATAACAAAACGTCCCCCACAGGAGTTTTATTTACTGCAGGCTGAAACACGCAAGTGAATGGATAAATTAATAAATAAATGATGATGAGGATAAAAGGAAAATCAATACAGCCGACAGCCCACTTTGCTCCGGCACTCTGCTGTATAGATTTTAAATGAAGCAGATGTGCCTCTTTGATACTGAGATAAGGGGAACATCACAATGACATGGTGAGCCTATACTTGTGCTAACCCACTTCTATCACATTTGCAAAGACCTGGAACTGCTTATCATGGTGTCGGCAGGCCCGGATTGAACAGATTTATTTCCTTTGAGTGTTGGCTCAGGGATAAAGTAGGATGTCTGTTTCCTGCCGTCTTTCCTCCCGCGCTTGTCACTCGCCCTCGTCCTCTAAGTGCTAGGGCTTTCTCACCATTTTCAATTAAAGAGCTCGGGGATGCGGCTGTAATTCAGCAGACGACGAGCTTCGACAAAGAGCGACAGACTTTAACTGTTTCACATTGCTCTTCTGAGACCCGGTGCAAAACCATCTTCGTCTTCTACTGCCGGCCAAGACTAACGATTGAGGCTTGGAGCAGCAAAATAAACATAAGTGGTGCCCAAGCTCCTGCCTGCAAAAAGCGTATGTCGTCTTTAAGTCATGGCCATCTGTCAGTCTTGTACGCTGGGAATGATTATATGCAGGCTGGGCCTAAGATTGAAATAGAAACTTGATCATAGTTGATGCTGTACAAGTTTGTCACTGCCTATGCTGACAAGTACACAGAAAGTGTTTTATAGTTACCGGTAGTTAGAACCCGGGGAAGTGCTGTTGCTATGGTTTTAACAACAAAGTTGAAAGCTCATCAGTTAAACGCCGCAGGAAAACTAATTATATATTTTAATCAAAGTACTGTACATCATCAGCCTACCTGCCCACTCACATTTCTTTGCATTCCTCTTTTTAATCTCAACATGGTGAGCTCTCCTGGAACGTTTTGATCAGGACAGGGCCTCTGTGGTTGCTACGGTTGCATCATAGCATGAGGGGGTTGAAAAGATGCTCCCATCTGTGATGTTTATGTGACGAGTTTGAATGTTCTCCCATGCCTGCTAAAGTTTCCTCTGATTGTTCCGTTTTACCCACAGTCAAACAGGACATGTGAAGCAACAACTCTAAATTGCCTGTATGTGAAAGTGAGTTCTACATGTGTTGGACCAACTCTCATAGACTCACAACCTTTTGTGGGATACAAAACACACTAACACAATGCATGCTGGAATATCCCTATGAGACGCTGAATAATATGAGTGTGTATGAAGACATCATGGGTGGATACTTTTTTAGACCTCAGGCCAATTGTGTTATCTGCCATGCATATTCAAGGTGTTTGTAAAGCTTAAGAGCAATACATATAACACCGCTCCTAATCACAAAATGAACAAACCCAAACTCAATGATGTAATAATGGATAGATTGTAGACGTATAGGTTCCATATTTAGTAAACAAGGTTAATTTAAATTATGCCTCCATTTTCACCGGTTTCTCCAGGGGTCCTTCTCACTTTGGTTAAATGGATTCCTTGTGTCCCTCACTTGCGTCGTTTCCCTGCGTCTAGTCCCTCCCACCAGGGAAGCATGGAGAGACGCAAGGAAACCACGAGAAGCAGGGAAATGAGTTTTAAGAGCAATGGGACCTCCTTTCCTCCGGAGCGTCACGTGAAGCGACGTCCGTTTGTGATGATCGTCTGTCCTCGTTATTTCCACACACACCACTGCCTCTGTTAGTACACATTTACTGACACAAACATTTTTATCATCTGTTGCAAACCCAAATAAATAAAATAAAATAAGAACTAATTCTCAAAAAAGATAAACGCCATTCTTAAAATGTATAAACGAACAATAGTTTGATTAATATTGATTAGAGTGCACAAAATAAATAAAATAATTGAGAGAAGAAAAAGAGATATGTTATCTATCAAAACCCAGTTAGATTAATATTCATTGGATTGCACACTTTGTTTGTTTGTTTGGATATGTAGCAAATTAACACTTTAAATAGCACTTAATGACTGACTGAATGGAAATGACAATAAATGAAAATGTAAAACGAAAAAAGCGATCATGAAAATGTTTCCAAAAAATGAATAAAATGATTTTTGACCACTTTGTTGTTCAGATATATCACATATTTGTAACTAAATGATACATTAATTGAAACAAAACACGGTATAAACTGAGGAATGACTCCCGTGAGGTTCATGTATTTTCTTCACTCCGCTGGGAAACTGCTCTCATGTCAAGAAGCATCAGATGAGTGCATGCAATGCATCGTCCAATCAGTGAGCGATACACAGTAAGGGGGCGGGGCGAGTGTCTGAGGATTTCATCGAAGGATGGTCTGGTGGTTCCTCGATTATAGCTCCTCCATTATCGCTCCTCGCTCCTCCGGCAAAAACAAGGCCATTGGGACGCTACTCAAGATGGCGCAGACAAATCAACTTCCGGTGAGACCGAGACCGAGGAGCGAGGAAATGAAAAATAAGAGAAGTGAGAAAGGGCCCATGAGTGCATCACTGAGCACCTGTGGAGCCATTAAAGAGATCACAATGATTTGTTGACAATATTTAATTGAAGAAGAATCTGTAATAATTAACAGTTATGTTTTGGATGTTAATTGTTTTAACTGAGCCAGATATACTTTGTGTTAATGAGTCAGTTTAAAGGGAATTCAGTGCAACTTTGTTATATAAAATACATTAAAGAGGTGTTGTATCCAATTTCTATTTTGCATACTGCAACTTTATCCGACCAAAGGTTACTCATCTGTCATGAAATATTCTTTACACTTTTATTGAACTTGGTTGATGATCCCTGGAAAATACACGCTCTGATCTGATCATTTAAAAAGCACCCACTGTGTCCGTGGGATGTTATCGACTAACCTGTATAAGGACAGATGGATATTGATCTGAGAATTTATTTCATTGTAATATAATTGTATCCCTTGTCAGTTAGACTCAAAGTCCACATGAATCAAACAAGAGCAGCACAACCTGCCGGATTTAAAATCAATGGAGGGTACAAGCTCTTCCAACTTCCATTGCCTGTCCCAACATTTCGATTAGGTCCTTATTGAAGTGTAAAAAAAACAGTTTTGTTTAGCGTACTTAGGAGATGTTAATGAAGATTGTACATTATTTAGACCAACAGCAGAAACAACATCTTTGTGTGCCCAAAATGTTGGATGGCAAAGACTTAAACAAAAACGTAGGCATTTTTCATCAATTGTCATAAGCACTTATGCACAATATTACAGTACAAAACATCAAATAAGACTATTCTCCACAATAAAAAATCTCTCAGATTTTGAGATGGAAGTGTTGACCATATTTGGCATTCTGTATGCTAAGTATGCTGAGCCTTTACATTACATGTTACATGTTAGACGCTTTTATCCACATGATTACAATGTAAGTAATTGTATGAAGTTGTGCGTGTACATGTTTAATAAGTACATATATCTTCAGTTGTGGATTCCAAGTGCACATTCAGAGCTTGCATGCTTTGATAAATGAGGCCCCAGGTGTTAGAGATGGAACATTATGCAATGCACGGCATACAGCCAGATTAAACAAACAGGTGCTAAATGCTGTCTAATACGACTAACCAATGGCCATTCTGCACCATTTTGGCATTAATGACAAAACCTGCAAACAACCCTCATGCAAAAGAAGCCATAAATAATCATAAAGTTATGAAAACAGAATAAAATATGCCTGTAGTTACTGCATCGTTATCTTTCAAACACATAGGAGTCTTTCATTATTTAATGATCTTGCATAAAGAGCATTATATATTAATATATTTAAATCATTTAGCTCTGGCATACATGCAGCCTTATGTTTGAACATTGTAGTCATAGCTTTCGGCTTCATGTTTAATGATCATGTTCAGAGTTTCCGTGACCATACTGAACTGTCTCTTTACATTCATCGCTCACTGCATGTCAAATATTGATGCCAACACACAGCAGCATATGCAGCTGCATTAAAAATCTAAGTTTCAGGGTCTCTCGGAGCGGCACAGAGGAGACTCAACTGCCTTGATGAGGGCTCGGCCCAGAATGGAAGAGCTTGTACCCTCCATTGATTTTAAATCCGGCAGGTTGTGCTGCTCTTGTTTGATTCATGTGGACTTTGAGTCTAACTGACAAGGGATACAATTATATTACAATGAAATACATTCTCAGATCAATATCTATCTGTCTTTATACAGATTAGTCGATAACATCCCACGAACACAGAGGGCGCTTTTTAAATGATCAGAGCGTGTATTTTCCAGGGATCATCAATCAAGTTCAATAAAAGTCTAAAGAATATTTCATAGTCCAGGTCTGAAGTATGCACTTCCACTAAACTAAATGGAGTTAGGGTTTCACAGAAACATCAATAACACCTAGTCAGGCCTCTATCTCACAGATTGGGCAGGAATCCCTGTGATAGAGTCTTTCCTTGACATTTTTCTAACAGCTCTGAAAGCTACTTCTGTGTTTAATTGATAAAAAAAAAAGGGAATCTCTTTTTAAGTTTTGGCTTAAGGGCAAACGTAAACACCAATCTTGTGGTTTAGGCTGAGGTTTTTCCCCACTGGGAAGAGGATGTTTGATGTAATGTATCCTGCAGGTAAACTTACCAGTCTCTCCCCATACAGGCAAGTATTCATCCTGCTGGATATCCAACATCAGTTCCAGGCCGTTACCCATCCCACCCTTCATCGTCACCATGAGGGGTCGTCCATCTTGGCCTGAATTAAAGGTGTAGCACTTCCCATAGCGTGTGAATATCTGAAAAACACAAAGAGACAAATGCAGGGGTTTAGGTGATACATGGTCACAACAAAATGATAAGGAAAAAAAACCCTGTGGAGATAAAGGTAGCACAGAGAAGGGGATTGTTTTAAAAGCAGCAGGAAAGCTCCTACAGGAAGCCTTTCTGGTTAGGCTGTCCGCTGCAGGCCTCAGAGGTCTTAGTGTTGACACACTGAGCCCTCACTCCTCTCAGAGCTGCATGATAAAGTATGTGCTTGAGTGAATATGACATGAAAACAAAAATGTTTTACTTTGTTCAGAGAGGGACTCCCTCAAACAAACCAACAATGGCTCCTGGCATCAAATCAAACTTTGCAAAAAGATACTTCAGATACAGATTTAAATATTTAAGAGAAGGTAATGATTTCAGGAATTCTGGATAGGATTCTTTTATTATCATTAGAGCTCTAAAGTCTATTTCAGTCAGTGTGCAGGTTATTAAACAGCAAGAAGCACAGACAACACACATTCACTGGTTCCAGCTGCTTGCGTGTAAGTGAATATTATGGGTTTTTTGACTATCAGAGGACAAAACAAGTTATTTGAAAATGTCCCGATGGGCTCTGGGATATGAAAAAGGGTTGATCAATAAATCAAAGTAGTTGTCAGAAGATTTATCATTTTGTTTTTGTCCTATTTATCATCAAATCTAGGTTTGGGTCCTATACATGTCAAAAAAGCAGAACCAATACATGCACAAGTTGACATTTAAGTGTCTGGTTTTAATGCAAAAATATTTAGCAATTGAAAACTAATATAACCATAAAATATTCCCTGTTAAAAAAGCTAGAACTATTGAGTTTGGGGAATTTATCCTTTGAATTGACTCCATTGTAAAGCTCTTATAAAATACCAAGTGTCATCTTTTTCTCTCACAACTGAATTCAAAGCATCACCAGATCAAGTGAGCCCAACCAATTCCAGTCTCTCTTTATCGCCACAGTGCGACACGAAACTGCAGATGCAACTTAAGAGTTCAGTGAACATGCTGCCGTCTCATGAAACCTGAACTATTTATGCCCTCGGATTACATGTCTGAAGTGTGTTCGTCTTATTATTGGATCAGGAATGAGCTGCACAGTAGTGCTGTAGAGCTACTACAGCCCAGCAGAAAACGTTGATCTATTGGCAAAGACACGATGCCAGTGAACTAATGGATGGTAATCAAATCATAGACATTAGGAAATTGAAAGCCATGGCCAGGATCCAAAATAAAATGTCTGCCTACTTTGTTGTCAAGCCACATGATTGTGAGCCCTGTATCAAAGCATCCTCGCTCACAATTAACTTATTGTTAACCTTCAACGTTTTGACATTCATATGAGGAAATGGTAAAAGGAAGTGGGGGTGGGGTTTGTTGAGTACAATATCAGCAGGAAAGTAATAACTAATATAAGTCTCCCTATATTTGTCCGCCACTCTATGTCTTAACAATTGTACTCACTAGAGATAAGGCATCATTGTGAGGTAGTGGTACAAATAACTTGAGCTAAACACAGATAGCTTGCACAAAAGGCTTTTCTTCAGCTGGGACCGTCTGAAGAATGTTTCTTATATTTCTCATGAATGCATTATGAGGTCCTTGGGAACACATCAATAGGCGTTCATTACAGGAGTGACATATGAGTCAGACATAAGCACATCATGGAAAAATGACTCAAACGTCACAAACACCAGATGCATAGAGTTGAGAAATTGCAGCCATGTCTCACAAAAGAAAAGTTAGCATAATGTGAATCCTGCTCAGTGAAGTGTGCGGGAAAAAAAAATGGAGAGTGAATCGCAATGGATTGCCTCCCAGGGTGCGAAAATATGGGATCTTTTAAGACACAAAGTGGAGAAATGTAATAAAAAGCGTTCTGAACCCAATATAAAAGTGACCTTTCAAGTGCACAAGTGGCAGAAGTGAATCAAAAACAGTGAGTGCTGTGCCTGCCAATGTGCAGTGATACAAACATCAATAAAATGCCCCTGAATCCATCTCAGTCCTTGAGCCGCCTCCCGCCGTAATCAGATCACTGTTGTGTTTATAATTACTTTTTAGAAAATATAAGGCGGGGGGAATCTAATGATATCAAAGCACAACCTGCACAACACATCTGATGATAGGAATGGGAAAAACCTGCAGAAGAAAACGGTCTCTGAGACTTTTCTATGCACAGTTTTTTCCCATGGGACCCTGCGACACCCAAACAAATAAAAAACCACGCAGTTTGTTAAGGCAATTTCTTTCCTTGGTTTTACCCGTTTACTGCTTACAATGACAATTTTTTTACGAGACAAGTTTGACAATCAGAAAAAGAGGCTGAAAGCATTTGGCAGATATACTGTACATCAAGACAACAGCGATGCGATTGCTGGTGATTGTTTTGTAGCGTGCGCCTGAGCATGCACACTTTTGTGAGAGGGAATGATGGGCATACCCACATGGTGATGTTCCGAGTATAAAGTATTTGTGTGTTCGTTGCCATCTGCGTGTACGTGTTGCTAACGTGGTGACTGACTAGGGGAGGTCTATAGTCAGAGTTGCTGTGGTAACCAACATATAGTGCTGGGCTCATAGAGAGAAGAGCAGCAGCAGCAGCAGCAGCAGCGGTGGGTGCTGGTGATGACCTTGGGGAGTCGGGTTCTCCATTGTGCTCTACAGCTCTGAGGCTTGCACTCAGTCTCTCTTCATTCTTCATGTCTATCGATCGCAAAGCCTGTCTATCTTCATCAATGGAGTTGGCGGTGTTTGTGCAGCATAAGCAATCCTAAAATACATTCTGGACTAACTAGAGGCAGAAACCCCATTTGAACAAAAACAAAACAATAGAAAACTGTTTTAATTTAATTATTAATTATTGAAATTATGGAAGCAATCAGCTGCATTGAAGGACTACTCACATTTATGGAAAACACTGTTGTTATTAAATAAAAAAACTTAAAAACATTTAGAGTTAGAAGTGAGTTTCTATATTTGAAGTATAAAAGGCTTTATTGTCATGTGAAAAATAGCTATAACTTAGGTTTGGCCGTCCCAGGCTTCCCCATTAATGCAACATACAATAAAATAAAGAAATAAAATAGTACAATAAAAAAGTGCACAAGACAAAACGTTGCAAATTGCAGAGATAAGAAAAGTATAAAGAATATTGAGTAAGATAAACCACAATGTTAAATGTAATACAGCACAGTTAAATGAACTATATAAAGTAATAATATAATTAAATAAATAAGCCAATATTTGTGATGCCTAAGCAGCTTTTTTTTATTGCTCAAACTGCCTATTGCCCTTAAACTGAAAACCACTGTATTGTGTGAACTTGTAAACACAGGAATAAAATATTAAAACCGATCCCACCTATGAGGAAAAACACTGAGAGACATCATTCTCTCTTGTTCTTGTAGGGTGTAGGAATGCCATAGTCTCTCTCTATGATAAATAATTCACAGTCACACAGCTCAAGACTGCTGAGATGGCCCTCGGCCATCCTTCACATGACAATGTGACAAGGCTGCACAAGCTGTTCCTTAAAGTTGCCAGGGAACCACTTTCCCTCCCCTCCATTGATTTCAAGATCAGCGCTGAGCACTAAGGTGCAATGTGTTATGACAGCTTCAAAAACAGACACAAAAGAAAGATTGTCTGTGTAGTACTTGGCACTAAATCAACTTGGCATCACATAGGATTCACTGATTTTATCACTGAACTTTATGGAGTATATTTACGATCAATGAATACAAGTAACAGGTAAATAATGAAGTGTGGTAATTTACTGTTCTACTGCATCGACTACTTCATCTGTATGTGGAGGGAGTGTTCACATATCACACTGTAAAACAAAACAATAGATCTAGCCAAAAATACACCAAAGAGTCAGATTTTTAATCCAGCCAGCCCCAACAAAAATTTAACATAACTGCAGGCTCTCTAAAATACAATCTCACCCCAAGGTCCATTAAGCAGTTTTTGTGTGGAGCTTCTATGCATAACACAGCCATTCAGCAGATGAGAATCCAAAAAAAGCTGCTAAATGGACCTTGGGGCGAGATTGTTTTGTAAACTGCTGTTTCCAAGGTCAGGAATGAACTCTGAACCTAAACTTTTAGGGCATTTCATCATCATTTTCAGAAAAAGCAGGCAGCTGTACAGCTGAAAAACTCTGATTAACGTACTTTCTGCAATGCACTCAAGTATGCAAAATATAAATAGCCACTTACTGGTGAAGGAAGCGAAATATTAAGCAGGCTAAGAGCTAAATATTTCCTTCAAGAGTTAGAGGAGAGCAGAACTGAGCCAAAATATATCGGACTTAAATTCAAATCTTTACTATGTCTGCTGGATTTGTAAATAGGCAATATTTCAATGTTGTGTTAACAATCTGTAGTGCTGCATCAAAGTTGACCAACCACAACAGAGCCGGCCAGCTAACCAATCAGAGCAGACTGGGCTCTGGTTTCAGACAGAGGGTGAAAAGAGGATGCTGCAGCACAGGCAGTATGAGAAACAAAAAACATGTCATAGAAGCATAAAACACAATGACATGAAACGTGAAAATGATCCCCCTTAATGAAGGTGTAATGGCAGGTATGAAGCTATCAATATATTAAGTTCACGGTTACTGTAAAGATGGTTGCAACTACGTTCAGTTATTATGCTCCAAAAATCTGGAACAAACTCCCAGAAACCTGCAGGTCTGCTGCAACTCTTACTACTTTTAAATTCAAGCGGAAGACTTTTATTTTTGCCATTGCTTTTAATTGAACTATTAATACCTTAAACTGCACTGTTACTCCCTTCACTCCCCTGCATTTTTTTTAATTATCTTTGCTTTTAAATCCTGTTTTTAAATGCCATTTTATAACATGTTTCCGCTGCGCTATTTCTTAATGCTCTTAATGCTCTTAATGCTCTTAATGTCTTTCATTTTTGTAAAGCACTTTGAATTTCCTTGTGTTGAAAGGTGCTATATAAATAAACTTGCCTTGCCTTT